AATGAGCTGACAGCTCACACAGGCCTCTGGACATCTAAACACATCTGTATAATAGACTAACCAGTTTCAGAGCTGGACCAAAGATATCAGTCTGAATGGTGTGTATGAAAACATTCGGTTTTTATACAGATTGTCCTCAACGTACTTCCTAGACCTCCGATGAGCAGCATTGAAACTGCAAAAGAAACACCCCAGTGAGGAAGTAGTTCAGCTCAGGGGTTTTTACAGAATGAGAGCAGAGTCAGTATTGGGGTTACTGCTGTTTTTGAGAAGAAGAAAACCTCAAACAGTGTTTCCTTACACAGACATGGCTCCTCGGCTGGTCCTGACTGTACCAGTGATTAACACAGGTGGGGAGCGTTGCTTCTCTAAAGTAGCTTTGGTGGAAAACAGGCTGAGATCAGGCATGCTGGAAGACAGGGTCAGTAACCCCACACCCATGTCCACAGAGCATGGCAGTCTTTGTTAGTTTAAGGACCTAATTAAAGGTTTTTCCTAAAAGAAAGTCAGTCGCAAGACCTTCTAGATGAGCAAGTGATACGATGCTCCGATGCTTTCCAGGAACCTTTTTTGAGGTTTTGCAATGTCAGAGCATATAAATTCATAAAGTAATTTAGTCTAAATGTTGTTTTGTTCTGGTTCATAAAGAGACAGAGCCACTGTTCAAAATGTGTTATTAGAGAAACTAATTGTGTCCATGGTTTGTGTGCATGTAGTAATGCAGCTATTTGTCATTTTTTCTCAGAAATGATTAAAGTGTCTATTTTGTCTCGATATTCATCCTTCCTTTTTTGTGATGTACAATTTGAATCTATAGAGCTGTAACTATTATACATGAATCGTGTGGCGCTGTTGTTGGTGGTTTTGGGGGGGCTACAAAATCGTCCAGTCCCAGGGCCCAATGGAAGGTGGAGATTCAGGATCCACACTCACTGAGTCCGATGGACAGGTGGTTGATACCAGCTAATCCCAAAATACCGGGTATGATTCGGGCTCAGATTTGGGCTTTCGGGGACAGCCGGTTAACTGGACAAGGGAAGAAAAAAGGCCGGTTATAAGAAATGGACCGGTGGCCTGAAGGTGCTGGGTCACAAGACAGTCAGGGTTGGAGGAAGACCTGTCCTTCGTAAAGCTGCTGGACGCTCACAGCTAGTGTGACACAGTTCTAATGTACACAGAAATTCTATTTAAAAAGGGCTGCAAATGTTTATTTTTCTCAAGACCACATGCACACAGGGAATGGGTCCTATCGTTTGCCCTCACAACGCTATTGGAGGGGAAAAGTTTTTATGGGTCCGGTCATCTGGCCTTGACCTCACTCTACCAGCAAACTTATGACTGGAAATCCTTTAGCAAGTTTGTAGTTGTGGGTCTAAGAACACAAGAAGAAGAACTGCAAGCTAAACTAAAAAGTAGAGAGAACTCAACTGGATACAGGAACACATATCCAGAAAAAAACAAACAGGAAAACAGAACATGGAAAGAGACTGAGGGGACTTGTCAGCATCCTTTGTTTGGAGTTTTTGATTTTGGTTTTGTTTCTTAGTTCTGTTTTTTTCCCTCTGCTTTGGTTTCTTGCGTTTTGTTTTGGATATCTTCTCAGTTTCCTGTGTCTTCCCCTTGTGTCTCTCGGTTTAATTAACTTTCCTTAGCTCCTGCCTACTCTGGTTATCAGCTCAACTCGCTTCATCTGTGTTCCCCATCACCTACTTTGGCCTCCAGAAACTTGTCAGTTCATCTCTGGCTTTTCCGGATCCGCGTGGTAATGGCCTGATGTCTGCCTCTGGTTTGGTTTCTCTGTCTTCCTCCAAGTGAGTCTTCATTGTCTTTGTTTAGTTATTTGTCTTTCCCAGTTTAGTTGTTTTGTTTTTGTTGTTGTTGTTTTCTTATCCAGCTTCAGCTACACTTTTTGTCATCCCTTAAAATGAATTTGAGTTTATCATGAGTACATTGGTTCCCTCCATGTTTTCTCCATGGATCCTCTCAGCTCACCACCAGCGTTTTATGACAGACCTCTAAACATGAAAACCAGAACTGTCAACTCGAGGAAATAATCCCACATCAATTCTAGGTTTAAAGTTGAAAAAACTCCTGACATACTGTACACTCATTTATTATTCAGCCTGCAATGGGCTTAGGCAAAAGTCAGTTATTATTCAAAACCTTTTTTTTAAATAAAGGACCTATGTATGACAACCTTAATGTAACAACAGGTTTGATCACTGTGGTAAAACATAGACAAAAAACAAAACACAATTGTTTTCAAGATTATTTTCTAATCAGGCAAACCAATATTTACATCACCGAAGAATAAAAATAAACAGCCATGTGAGACTTTAAATTATTAAATCTGATTGTGAGGTATGATATCTTTAGAATGAAAAATCAATGTTCTCTGGAAGCAAAGTCATTGCGATTTTTAAAAGTAGACAACTGATCTGTAGTGACCTCTAGTGACCTGTAGGGAAACTGCACAGCAAACATTCTCCATCAGTCTGTTGCTCATTGTCCACGTGCTTGCAGAGTTGTTGATGATTTAGTTCATTATTTGAATATTCTTTCATTTTCTTTTGATCATTGTAATAATCAAACTGCAAAAGCAAAGGTGATCTATTTCTGCATTGAAGACTAAAGCTGTTTAGCACAAAGCTACCTTTAGCAGTTTCACTTCTGTAAATGGCATGACCAGACTGCAAAGACCCTGCTTGTGTTTGAGTTAAATCATTTAAAAAAGAAGTTAAACCTTGATTTAAAAACATATGCAGTTTCTGTGTCAAGAAACTTGTGACACATGGGTATATCTGGGCATATGTACAGTAGATTCCAGGAGGTAATTCCATTCATCTCCAAGCCAATAACCTACATCCGTGCATCATGGAAGCTGAAGACTAAAGCAACTAAGCACCTCATAAAACCCCTGCAGCACAAACGAACCGGCTGCTGTTGACGGAGCTCCACTGGCTGACCCGAGGCCCCACAGGGCTGACCATAAAACATCCACACAGAGGTGGTTACTCCTCACAATGAGTCAATAACCAGCCTCGCTCCAACCCCGAACCCTCTGTCCTCTGTCTCTGCGGGTGAGTAGACACATAGTTCAATACATTCATACGCCCCGCAGGGAATGTGGAGGAACACTTAGTAAGTCGGTAAGTAAGCAGGACTTAAACAGGGATTGATCAGCAGGGCTGTGGACGGAGACGAGGAGCACACACACAAGTCCGTGCATCGTCTGGACCCACTGCAGCAGAGCCCACAACTCAACACCGCTTACAGCTCTGGAACTTCAACAGACCTGTTAACCTGATTCTTTATTTGGAAACCTGAGAATGAACCAGAGAGGATCAAAAGTATAGAAATGACATTTATCAGGTCACAGGTAAAGACTGGACACTGCTTATTGGTCAGTTACTTACTAGCCCTAACCCTGACATGAACCGGCCCGTTCCTAGTTAATGCAGGTAACATTGAAATGTGGTAAGAATGGTGAGTGTTTGTGTTGACCTGATGGAACGTGATAACAAATGGTGTAGATCTAATGCAATCAGAGAAAGAAAACAGAGTCTTTGGACTCAGCCAGAGGCTTTAACACAAAATGATAGTTGTAGAAGGAATACAAAAATCAGTAATTTACATAGATCATGTAATAGCATACTATGTGAGTAATTATAACCAAATTCTAACAGACCGCAGAGCCTTCTCTGGAAACTTTCTGGGACTGCAGAATACCACTCATCCAGAGCTTGAAGTTACTGATATAACAGGCTTCTGCCAGGGGGGTGCTATTTAACTGCTCCTGTTCTGCTAACTCAACTCCCTCAGCTCCATCATCATTAAGTCTGGCCCTGGAAAATGACCAGCCCCTTCCTCCTCATATAACACATGAAGCTATAAACCATGAATAAGTACACCATAGATCCAGTGTAATACAGCAATTACATTCTGACTCGTGGCAGGATGGTCCAGCTAAGCAGAAAGTTGCATTTACTAAATAATAATGACCAACAATCTAAAGGCAGTGACTTTTTCCCATAATCTTTTGTGGTTTATTTACAGTAAATTAATTGACTACAACATCCGCTTGAGAAACCACAGAATAAAAGCCGATGAAATGGCTTTTTTGTTTGATCTTGACTTTTCATCACGCATCATCATGCAAAATGGGCTATATTTATCCAATGAAGCTCAACAGGAGCAGTCAGTAAAATCATTTGGCAGCAGAGTGCTCCGTTTAGCGGCTGAGCTGTCAAACTGCGGCCCAGCTGACCAATCAGGGAGTTTTCAAAGGCTCACGCTAAGCCGACCGACCAATCACGATGAAATAAACCCAACCGGAAACCGAGTCCCGGATAAAAAGACCGGAATTTGGCCCCGCCCCCAAGTATGTAAAATTCCGAGAATGATTATAATTGGATTTTTCTTCGGTGTTCGTCTACAAAGCATGGCCGCCGGATGTAAAAATGTCTGACTGGTTTAAAAGACCAGTGAACAGTCAAACTTCCGCTTCGGTTTCCTCGGAAATGTTGGAAAATGTTTTGTTATTTCATTATTTGCTAGTTGACGTTATGATAGCCTAAATGTGTGCTAACAGAAAAGCCGGAAGCAAATAAAGACACTTGGATTAGCTCCACAGATGTGCTATATTAGAGTGTAATTGTTTTTTATTTGAAAAAGGTGTTGTTCCCATGACATAAACTATTAAGTAGCTATTTTTAGAAATGTGTTTTAAACTACACCAATTCCCTTTTTTCATGGATAATGGGAAAGAGATGAGCCAGACTGTAGGTTTCCCCTAGTCTTCCCCCCCAGGAGGCTCTGCTTCCAGCCCCTTTGTTCAGTCTAACCGGTGGGTTGACTCAGAGGGAGGCTGAGCCACACCGACTCCGAGGAGACAGACCCCAGCCGGGATAAAGCCCCCTGGAAGAAAAGGGAATTCACACTGTAAACCTGCTTCTTTTCTCTTTTTTTTTTTTTCTTCCGGAGAACAGACAGAAAGAAAGTTGCTAACTCAATGTGGCGAGTCGTTCCGGACAGCGCGAGGACTCGTTCGCCACGGCTCGGCTTTTCGCGGCAGTCCCGCCCGTCGACAGCCACCGACAACCCCCGGTAGCAGCTCCAGCTAGCACCCCCGAAATGAGCCGGCCGGCCGCACGCTAAGCGACTCCGGGCAGCGGTTGTCATCGTCTGCGGACCCACGCTGACTCTGCCTTTCGCTCTCTGCTCAGCATCCATATTTGCATCCCAGGGAGTGGCATCCGCTAATCTCCCGTTCCCCCCCCCTGGCACGGACCCGGGAGCCAGGAGGCTCACGCCCTGTTCGGACGCGGTGTTTTCAGACGGGAAAGTGAGTATTTCCCCCCCGCATGTGTGTGCTTGTGGGCCCTTTTTCCCCCCCGGGTGAAGGCGTCTGAAGGGCAGTCTGGAGCACGCTGCCGCAGTAGCGACAACAATGGAGCCGACCGGCGGCGTGGCATCCGCGGAGGTGCCCCTCATCCGCCCCACGATCCCCCCCAGTCCGCTCTGGAACCGGTGGAGGTTCCGAGATAAAGCCGGGCCTTTATGCAGCTAAAATCAGCCACACAGGGGGGGCTTTTTTATACTTCACCTATGGGAGACAGATTAGCACAGGTCGGGTTTTTCAGAGGATAAACCATCTTTTTCTTATTTTCCTGCACGAGTTGAAATAAAAATAGAATGAATCTTGGTAACCGATAATATCTGTTTTTATTCCAGATGTGGATTAAAAGATTCTATTTTTACTCCACATGTTGTGTTGAAAAGCCTGGGCCAGATGTGGGATGCTTATTGCTGGTTGTCCCAGCATTATGTTGTCTTAATAGGCTCTGGATCAGGGTTTTGGGAGCCCAGCTTTTCTCTGATAGTGGCCTAAACTCTCCTGTATGACGTTCATAAGATTCAGAAGCAGACTGTGAGCAAACATTTAAAGCAGTCATGTGTCACTGATCGGAAAAAGGTGCAACTTTACAGCCGTAGGCGTCACGATATTGCACTTTAAACAGGCGCCTTAAAGTAAAATGTTAAATGACACATTATGCCATGTAGAGAAAAGCCCAGCAGTGGTATAAACCTACCTAAACCTTTATACCAGTCCCCCCCCCCCCACCCCACCTCAATCACTTGTCCATGTTGTTAAATGTCAGCTTAGGCCTGTAGGGGAGCCAGGTTGATGCATGGAAGCTTTTCTAGGAATGAAATGCACTTTTCACAAAAGGTTAGAGAGAAAAAGATCTATCTATCTATCTATCTATCTATCTATCTATCTATCTATCTATCTATCTATCTATCTATCTATCTATCTATCTATCTATCTATCTATCCATCCTTGGAGGTTGAATACTGGGTACAGTTATGGGTATTGGTCTTTTGCTCTGATTGAAAAACGCAGATTGACTCCTCCATGGCAGGTCTTGGACTGACTGACAGTGCACGGGGGATTTATTGCTCGGCTGTCAGTTTCTCCACAGATTTAGAGCCGCGATGACACACAGGAAGTGAATCCCTTACTCTGTTTGTTTGCCCTGCTATTTGGTTAATTGGAACCATACACACAGCTAACGCCGTTTCTTCTCCTTCTATTTCTATAGCTAGAAACATGCAGAGGCACATCATCTCTTCCTTCATCTAGTTCCAGATCCACCAGCCTCCAGCGCCCAGCCAGAAGCTCTCAGGTCCCGGCCGTCCCCCTCAAACTCTAGAATGAACATGCTCAAGTCCAGTGGATTGAAAATCCCTGGCCGCGGGCCCAAGCATTCCAGCCCAGTTGGAAGGAGCTCAGTGGGTGGATCGTCCAGCCCCATTGGCCCTAAAGACAGTAAGTCACTTCCTGTTTCTGACCCGTGGTCCTTTCTGCTCCTCAGCGGAAGTGGCTAAGCCGCTTTATGTGTCTTCATCATTTAATGGAGCACAGCTGCATGACCAGGCACGCTCATCCAATCAAAGGCTGGCTTCTGATGGGAAAAAGCATGGAAAGAGTTCATGTTTATCTGTGAGAAGTGGTGCCTTTGTCCTGTTCTTCCACAGTGCCTACCGAGTTCTCCAAAGCCTCCTCCCTCCTGTCAGCCCGCCGCATTCTGGATTGTAGTAGTATTTATACATATAGGTCATGATGAATATTGGATGTGGTGGTCTTTCCAGTCCTTCATTTCATCTGGAGAATTGTTTTGTAAATGCTGCTCTATTTTTTGCATTAGTGAATCATGAAGGAACTCAGAGTATCGGTGTTTTGGTGCCTTTTACGTGGTTATGGTTAAAGTGGTTACTATGGATAATAATTAAGGTTTAATGTTTTTTTTTTTGTGTCATTCGCACCAGGCTTGTGCTTTTCCTAGTTTGAATGTTTTCAAGAACCATTTGCTTTAGTAAGGGAATCAGACATACCGGCTTTATGTCAGAGTCATGTCGAGCTCCGGTTTTGGTTTAGAAGCTCTCCGTAGCTTAGTGTGAAACATCTGTTGAACACACTTTTCTACGAGGACTTCTTCAGGGACATGTCTTTGACTCATCACATTTCCCTGCTGTCTGACATCATCCAGGCAGGCGTCGGCATCTGTTGATGCGTCCACGTTCACAGTGTAGGGCCACATTTAGTTGTATTTGCCTTGTGCTTATTTCAGGCATTTATCGGCATTGTTGCGAGCAGCAGTTGCGATTTCCAGCCTGCTGGGAAAAAGGCACAAATAACACACCAGCAGCCTCACCGACGATTCCATATTCACACTGGAAACGGAGATTTCTTTTCTTCTGCTTAGTAAAAGGCATTCCTTTCAGCCCACGTCTTCTTATCTGAACCCATATGAGGGAATATTGTTTAAAAATCCATGATTTCAGAGCCATTCTGCTTTCTCATCTAATAGTTGGGTTTACTCAGAGAAAGATCAAATAAAGATTTTAGAAATCCTGGATCCAGCCTGGAAGGACTGGAAGGGCTTTTTTGGATTTCTTTTCTATAATATGATTTACAAATGATAATCCATCAAATCTGTGGCGTAAATGTGATCAGTTTGAGGAATCAGAATAAGCCACTTTAAGATGGCTGTGTCGGTTTATTTAAGGCTGGGGGGGCGGAGGTGTCCGGTTTGAGAGCACCTGCTGTTTTTGGCTGGCAGGAACACAGGAGGAGTTCATTATGAAGGTATTGTAGCTTTTTTGTGTGAGGTGATTGGTCAGCCAGTTCTGAGAGAGTAATTTGGCACAATTGGATCCACATTAAGATGTTTACATGCTTTTAAAAAGGCCTGTTCTGGTTCGACTGACACATGAATTTGTTCATTTTAAGCAATGCGAAGTGAACTTTAAATGGATTGTCATGAGTAGCTACAGGAAGTGCTCCGACAGCCGGCTGTTGTTTGACTGGGCAAAGTCAAATCTTGTCACTTTTCCCCCTGTGGAATGGATTTGAAGGGGGGCGTTGTTTTGTGCAAAAGTGACTTTGTTGTGCACAGATGTGACAGTGCAGCCACCGAACAAGTGGTCTGCTCAGGCGGAGTTGCCGAAAATTACAGCCCCTGTCTGCGGAAAGTAATCCCAGCTGTTTCCAACCTCGAACGCAGCCACACTGTTTACTCTCTCTGGCTTCAGCCGGCCTGACAGCCCCGCTCCTACAGCTCCAAACACAGATGGCAGCTCTGCCTGTGCTAAATTACAGCCCCGCTGAAGTGAAGGCAGCAGAACAGAAGAATCCGCGGCCCTCTCTGGCTGATAGCACGCTCGCCTCTCATTAGCATCAGCGTGTCTGGGAGGCACCTTTTATCAGAAGCAGCTACAAGTGTGTCAGGGTTCAAGCTGAATGTGGAGTTTATGTGGGAACCCAGCTTCCAGCTTCCAGCTTCCAGCTTCGGCTTGTAAAAGTGCTTTCACCCTGTATTTGTATTTGTTTAGATCTGAAGCAGGTCCGAGCGACTTCAGACTGTTCTGTCATTGCTCAAACACGTGAACATTTGGGGTTTCAGTTACAGGCTGTAAAAATGAGAGCGGTCTCAGCACAATGAGCACATTCTTTAGCCCGATGCCACTTAAAAAGCATTTTGCGAGCGAATAAACAAACTCGTTTTCCACCGTTCCCTTCAAGTTTTTTCGTCTGCCCACGGGGGGATTTTAGTTCTTCTGTGTGTGGAAAGCACAATAGCTCAAAGCGTATCAAATCCTTGTGTCCATTAAAAGCTCAGGAAGCTAAGCCATTAATGTTTTCTGTGGAGCTGCAGCCGGTTGCCCGGGGCCTGTCAGCTGGTACCATAGGTGGCCATTTGCATGCCGCTAGCGCTCCTCTAAACGCTCTTCTAAACCTCCAGTTTAAAACATTTACACGTCCAGGGTATACAAACACATTAGTTTTTAATGCAGAGATCTAACTGTAAGCACGATTTTTAAAGGAGATGTTCGATTCTGACTTTACAAAATATAAATGACTGCACTAAAGCCTTCTTTTGAAGAAATACTTTGGTGAGTTTTCTGTTCCGTGCAGACAGAAAGCTGTCAGAACAAAAAGCTGTCAGCGGTAACAACGTTTGGAAGATCTTACCCAGTCTATAAAGCTACTGTCCACTTCAGGGACAGCCGGGGCCTGGAGGCTAAGGAGGATTAAATGAGAGGTGGCTCCAGACCTGTTTACAGGGACAGCTTTGAAAAAAAGAATGATGAAACTGGCAAAACATGATAACGTTTCCATAATGCTCGATATAAGTTTTATGTATACCTGATGAGGTTTATACTTTCCAAAAGAGGGGATGTGCTTTAGGTAGGATGAAATGAGCTCTGATACAATCAACATTTGACTTCATGACTTTTGATAAATACTTTGAAACATTAAACACAGCCTGTTGAGCAGAATTCATTAGGAACTCTCTGCCATCTTTTTCATATATGCGGTAAAAGGCTGCTGGTTTGGTTCATCTCGTCTTCAAAGTTTTGCCTCCAGCCGAGTCGCCTTCCTGCCCGTTTCCCTCATCCCAAACCACGTGATGGCTGGGGGCTCTCCGGCTTCAGCCCACAGCCCCAAAACATTAACGGTCACTCTGAAATGTCTGAGGGACTGCGTTTGTGTGTCGGTGACTATTGGTTTCTCATCAGATGGCCGGTGATGACCTGTCCGGGGTGTGTCCTGCCACAAACATGGACCTGTTGTCCATACTTCCTGTTCTGTGTCGGGGTTATGGGAGGGCTGGAGGCCCAGCTGTCCCTGGGGGCGGGGGGGCATCCTGGACGGGTCTCTGGTCCATCACAGGGATAAATAAGACAACTCACACTCACTCCTAAAGTCGATTTAGAGCCACCACTTAACCCCACATGCACGATCTGGATGCTCAGAGTCGGTGAAGAACACAAATGAAGGAATATTGCTGCTGCTGTGTGCACTCCCCTTCCTCCACACCTTTCTTTGGGATCAGAGTCTTATCTGTCTGACTGGTTCTGGTCCGGGTGCTTCCTGTTGCACGTTGGGCCTGAACGCCGCATCGAGGAAGACGCCTTTTCTCTCATCTCATCTTACCCCACTGATGCAGTCGGTAGAGGAGTCTGCCTCCCATCAGAGTCCTCCCCCCCTAGTCTGCCTCATGCCCCACGCCTCATCCTCTGTCTGTTCAGGCCCCGGAGTCAGACGTCGGCACAGTTCCTACAATTTAAAGGATTCAGCGTGCTGTAGAGACTGAAGCCCAGTGGTGAATAAAGGAAGATTTTCCCAAATCGCTGCTGATGTGAAAGCAACAAAACCGTGCCACCTCTCGCACTGAGAGTCTGCTGCAGACCTTGGGGCGTTCGATTGGAAACAGAAATATCTCAGCAGCATCCAGGCTGCTGCTTTTGTGGTCTCCTCTAACTAAAGGCCGGTTTACATAAATCCATCAGTTGCTATTTACAGCATTAGGGACAGGATGCCTCCTGTATTTTGGGGAATAGTCTATTAAACCATGTGAGTCCATGTGATGCAACATGCCTCCCATCCCCACAGCAGGCAGCAGCTGGCTGTGTGAACCAAACATTTACAAAGCTGTACGCTTTCCCAATACCGACAACACCGATGTGACACGGTGGTGTTGCTTACATTGTGACCCCGCAGTCCTCCACCATCCCAGAGAGTTTTTACGGAGACCGTACATAACAGACAACTGTCAAAAGAAAAGAGATATTAGCATTAACGGAAGCCTGTCTGGTATCGACAGAGGTTCTGATTATTCTTGTTTCTACCTCAGATGTAGGACATTGCGCTCACTCAGCCATTCATGGCTAAAAGGCCACTCTGCTCAGACACAGTAAATTTGGGGGTGATAGATTGATTAAAAAAAACAAAAAAACATGCCATCTCCCACACCCAGCTCCATCTGGCCCAGATCAACCCGTGTGCCCTGATCAGAGAGAGGCCACAGAGGGAGTGGTGTGTGGCCTATTTGTGACCAAAGCAGAGAGAAGGGGGGTGCGTTGGGGCGGGGGGGGAGGGGGGGGGGTGGGGGGGGGTAGTGTGGAGGGCTCATTGTGCCGAGCGGATGAATAGTGAGATTCAGATGGTGGTGGGAGGTGGCCAAGCACAATAGTGAAAGTGAGGGCTGTTTCCAGCTCTGCTTCTGTAGAGGGGGGGCCTGCACGCTCGCTGCCCCGTCGCCCCGGCAACGCAGATCATGGGTTAGCTCAGGTTCTTAGCTCAGAGCCGGGTTCTGCTGGCCCCGATCACACGCGTCCACCTGCTAAACTGGACGCTGTGGGAGTGGACGTGGTCCAGAACTGAAGCCTCAGGGGCAGATCTGAAGCAGGCACATGGAGGCTGGCCAATGGCAGCACATGAGTCTGAGGGAACTGGAGCAGGTTTGAGGTGGTCTGTGCATATGTAGAGTCATTCTATGTCTGATTCTGCGATGATCTAATCTAAGATGATGATCCACAGACTCTGTGGTCTCAGTATTTCTTTTCAAAATAAAAAAAAATAGCCATTATATCATTTAATTGTTATTAAGATTTTGAAACCCGTCTAAATCTAGCAAATACTGACTTTGTGCGTTTCATTTTCATGTTTTTTTTAGTTTATGTGATGACAATTGTGGGATGGAGTTGAGAGAAATGTTTAGATTTTTGGTTTCCGTCCTCTTTCATCTCTAAATGCTGGTTTGTTGTTTTTTGTCATCCAGTGGGAGGAGGCAGACTCTTAGACTTCAGACACAGTCACTAGATAGTTATTTTTAAGCTACAGTTTTCAAAGAAATGTAAATCACCTTGTGAATTTCATTATGTTAATGAAAAGAAACCAACTTTATGCTGTTTTCACTTAATCTCTGTATGCAGGAATAGAACTTAGCAGAGAACACAGTGTGGGATTTTCCCTCATTTTGTTAACAGGAAATGGATCTGTTAGATTGCATTCAATTTGAAATATTCAACTGTCAAACCATATTTTACTGCAGCAGGAGGAAGGAATGATATTTGATTAATCTAAAACCAAAGCGAAGGTCTGTGTAGAAGCCAAAATAGAAATCGTGACAGCTCATAGATTGAAATTACCTGTTTCTAAAAGGTCTTCCTAAAAGGCAGCTGATGAGTTCAAGAACCTTCAAGTAAAATCTATTTACAGCTGGTTGAAAATGAAAAGAAAGAAGTAATGTTTCTTTTTTTATAGAGTGTGTATCTTATGTTCAGCGGCCAACTTTGTGTAATTTAATGATACAAAATGAGTCTGAAAAACTGAAACTGTTTCAACTTTATCTGCTTTTGAAGTTGCGCCAATTAGCCTTTGTGTCTCATGACGGCATATGGAAACAATTGGGGCATAAATTACTTAAAGCACAACAATTGGGGCCCTCAAAGCCCCAGGCGGTCTTTTAGGGTGTCGGGGAGTCCGGCATGGCCTGGCCCAGCCCGGCCCGGCCTGGCCTGCATGGATAAACCCGCTTTACTGCACCAAACCAGGCACTAATGGAGCCCTGCTCAGCTTATATGCTGCTGTGGTAAATGGAGATGCAGCCCATCCGTGTGTCAGGCTGGTTAATCACAGACATCATCTCCCTGACCCACTTTTCAGAAGGAATTAGGGTTTCACCTAATCATGCACAAACCCTGCTGGATGTCGGATGTTTGCATGCAGACGCTTTTCCTCTGCAGACACAGACCAATCTCAGGGTGTATACAAAAACAAAACTGCTTTTATCTCTGTGAGCTAATGTTTTCTATATATATATATATATATTATTCATCTCTTGTCCTTGCAGTAGGACTTCTGTGTGTCGGTCCTCTGTGGGGCAGTCAACATGGGATTTGTCTTATTTTCCAGGCAGCCAGCTCAAGCCCATCACACCGGTTAAAATCTCGGAGGAAGGCGATGATGTTTTGGGGGACTACACGGTTGGCGAGCAGGTGTGGGTCAACGGCGTCAAGCCGGGCGTCATCGCCTTCCTCGGGGAGACCCAGTTCGCCCCCGGACAGTGGGCCGGCGTGATTCTCAACGACCTAGTTGGCAAGAACGACGGCTCGGTGGGCGGCGTGCGCTACTTTGAGTGCCAGCCCCTCCAGGGCATTTTCACGCGACCCTCCAAGCTCACCAGACAGTCGGCCGGGGAGGGCAGCGACAGCCACTCCACCGACTCGGCCCAGAACCTGACCCCCCAGGCGGGCGGCGGAGCGCCCCCCGGCCAGCGCGTGGTGGTGCCGCTCAGAGAGGGCCTGCTCAACAGCGCCGTCAAACCGGGGAACGAGTCCGGCTCCAACATGTCGGACAGCGGCTCGGTGAAGAAGGCCGGGGAGAAGGACCTGCGAGAGGGAGACCGGGTTCTGGTGAGTAGGGTTATGGAGGTTTGTCACAGCCATCCTCCAGAGAAGCCATTGGGGGACAGTTTGAATTTTATTCAGTTCTAACACTCAAAAACGCAGTCGGGAAAACTTTTGTGTTAAGGCAGAAAGCTAGTTGTTAATCAGAAGTGAAAACACAAAACTCCAAAACCCCTAAATGGTCAGTGCCGTTTACATATTTAAAAAAATTATTCCATGTCTTCTATTTTCATGTATCTAAGGTTAAATAACACAACTCTCTCTCTCTCTCCATAAATATAAATGCATATAATTCATTTAGTCATTCTGTGAGCCGTGGGTTCAGCTGTGAAGTCAGCACCTCATGTAATGGCCTTATATTTCATAATAGAGTGAGAAAATGTGGAAATAGATCATTTTCACTTTCGATCACTATTTATAAGGTCTAACGAGGTTTTCTGTGAATATTGATAGCTGCGGGTAATTGAAGAATACATCCTGATGGAGGTCTGGTTACTCTTTGACGCAGTTCGTCAGTAAAATGGATTCATGCAGTGTCATTTGATCGGTTTCTACTCCCCAAAGGGGAGGTCGGGTTTTCCATTTTTCTGTCTTTGCTTCTCGTTCGGCCTTCAGCCTGGTTGCAGAGAAGGGTTGATGAATGCACCCAGCACAGGAGCAGTTTCAGGGTATATTTCTACTCTTATTCCATCAGCTCTTGTTGGTATAAACAGAATTCCCTGCGCTGAACTATGGGCTGTGGGTCACATTGCTCTCGGTTTGCGGGGGGGGCACAGGGGAGGGTTACATCATGGCACGTGCGTCTGGAAACATGGCGCTCCAGCAGCTTCCATGCTGGTCAATATCCTAAATGACTCTGGATTACTTTCAGCACTTAGGAGGGAGGGATGGCTGCTGACACATTGATCAGGGAATCCATCATGGCTAAGCCTCCCCGGTATGACCCGTCTTTCTGCCGGGGGTCGGGCTCTAGCCTAAAACTCAAGTAAAAATGAAATTACAATACAGAATGGATTTTTCTGGTTCAAACTTAACAGAGGATTTCTCCCGGAATAATTAAGACATGCTGGACAATGCTGGTCAGAGACAGACGAAACCGCTTGTGTGGTCATTGCGTCTGATATCGCTCCTACGGCCTCTGTACAGAACAGAGGAGCTCATCTCAGGTAGCACACCCCCAAACACCAGCGTCTCTGATTATGTGATGGTGGCAGAAGGGCCTGTCTTTCTCACTCGGAGCTTAACTTGCACAACCTCTGCTGATTGGCTAAATCCTGGTGAGTCTTTTAATGCTGAGTCACTGAAACATCACACATCCGTGCTGGCAGAAGCCGTCTCAGTCTAATGTCTTTTGACCCCACAGTGTTTCTTGCTGACAAAAAGCTTGAACAAAGCCATTAAGGGACTTCAAAAAACAATAAAGAACTCTAAAGCAGATCCTGAAATAAGCAGGAAGCCTAAAACAAGAGTGACGTGCTCGTGATTCTGTGTTTGTTTGTTTGTTTGTTTGCTGTAAACAATCTGCTGCAGCATTTTTGCACCAGCTGAAGGCTGGAGAGAGGGACCTGGCTAATTCCTGTTAAAAGAGTCACCACAAAACCTGCATGACAGCATGAATTACTGATTCTGTCCCGTTTAGAAGGAAAGGTTTAACCAAACCATTAACGTGGTTATCAAACTGAAGGGCAGCTTCACCTACACTGGTGACAGACCTAAAATGTCAGACCAACACAACACTAGAGGTCCCAGCGTGGGAAACCCCTCCCTGAGCAGACCAGGAGTCACATGGAGAGCCAGATGTTTGGGAACAGGATGCACATTTTTCAAAAGCGAGAGAGAGATAGAGAGACAGGGCGTGATTGGTCGAGAGAGCTTGACACTTCCATAAACAGATTATTAAAAGGCAGTGAGTTCAAAGATATTAACGACTTTGTCCATAGAAATATGAAGACAACTGCTACACGTCCTATTTGAGGCTTTCAAGGGAAAAACTCATTCACATTTAAGACAGAGTTCATGAACACAAGGACCATGCAAGTTTGCAGAGATAATCTCCCTTAACTTCCATACAAACTGGTTACATGCTCCGAAAAAAAGCATGAAGAAATCTGGTTCTTTGCAAAAATCCGCCTTAAAATGAAAGTTTACCGATGGGGTCAGAGAAGTCTCACATCAAATCTGGGAGATTTGAACTAAACGATGCAGAATAAAGCGGAACAAAGAAAGTGGAGCTTTAAAATAAGCAGTGTATGATTACTCTCGTTGGCGTGCAGATTTAGTTTGCAGCTTTATTTTGGTTGTGTCCTAAGGAGGTGAGACTTTTGTGTAGTTGTGTGTCACACATGTGGTCACCATGTGTGGAGGGCATCTGGCAGCTGCGGACATCAGCTTTTAGGCTGTCCTCCTAACAGGAAAGGGCTTTGTTTTTTTTTAACTGGAGGACGCAGAGCGGTGACATGAAATGCCAGAGAATTCCTTTTTACATTTCTGGAATAAGAATAGCTTTGTTGGAATATTTTAACGTATCACTTAAGACCGAGCAGTGTTACACAATCCTTTTTTAAAGCACTTGTCAACAATATACTGTAATTGTCAAGGTTTTGCATTGTGGGTGAGAGGATCCACAGATTCAGGCCAGAAACGGTCGTTATTATGAAGGTTTAACAGCAGAGTCGGATAGGAAGACTACAACTAAACATGAGAAATGCAGCAACCAAAATCCTACAAACCAAGGAGATGGTCAGGAAGATGACATGGCAGCAGCAGAAGACAAAGGCAGGGTCAGAGACGTGGCAACAACATTGGCAAGGATCCGATTAGAGATTTTAAAAAAACTAGGAATCTTTAATGGAAGAGTGACTACTGGGAGAGAGCTGAGAGGCACTGCTATAAAGCACCGGAAGCTAAACAGAACTCAAAGAAAAGACAAGAAAAGCTCAAAAGTCAAGTTAGGAACAGACCCGTAAAAATAACCAAACTCCACAAAACAACTACGTTGAAGGATTTCATGTAAACGAAACAACTTTGAGCAGTGAATGATGTGCTGTTGAAGAGTTTAAAGTCAACCACAATATGAATTATTCTCCACCCCCCTTTGACAGAACTAAAGCAACTGAACAGGATTAAACCATCAATACTTGAATTATTGACTAAATGTGACATGCCAAACTGTCTGTGTCTGTCCACACGCACATTAGGAAGCATTGTTGGAAAAATAGGTGGCAAAATACACAGTTTAATTGTGGTTAATAGCTAATTTAATCTGGGAAAAATGTGTGTTTGAATCAAGTTTTTCCCATCTCACTTCATCATCGGCTAAAATCAGACTGTGTAAACTTGATTTAGCATTTTATGAGAGGCAGAGAATTGAGGGACTTTTGTTTCTTGTGATCCAAAACTGAGCAAAATCGAATCTGGGACGTCTATGCTGAGAAAAGATTTCCCCTGTAGCATCCTGTCTCATAATGTACAATGTACATAATGTACAAATGACTGACCATAATTCTGTGTTACCGTTATGATCTAGCACCTTTAATCCCCCCCCCCCTGTTGGTTTAGTCCCTGACCCAGACTTTGCTGCCCTCTTTACTTCCAGGTCGGAGGCTCAAAGATGGGGGTCATACGTTTTATGGGGGAAACAGACTTTGCCAAGGGGGAGTGGTGTGGCGTGGAGCTGGACGAGCCCCTGGGGAAGAACGACGGCGCAGTGGCCGGAACCAGGTCCACACACACTCTCACACTCTCACACACTCACACACACACACACACATACACACACGCCGCATATCCCTCCAGCTCTTCAAATTCCTTGAATGTTTTTCCCCTAAAAGGAAATTGGGGGGAAGCATGTGTTTCCTCTGTTCTGCTGTCACGGCCTCGGCCGTGGAGTCCTACCTGTTGACCGCCACCATTTGTTGGCTTGTTTTTATCCAGAGCCTCAAACACATTAGTTTTATTAGTGATTTCCTTCAGAGTGCACAGACATTTGTTTTAGCCAATAAAACGGCAGTTGTGCCACACAATTTTTTGAGTCGAGGAGCAAAAATGCCCCAAAATATTTTCTTTCCTGCTCTAATCATTATACAAGTAAACATGTCACCTAAAACTCTAAACAGATTTGTTGTGTTAGGAAAACCCGTCCTCAGCCCCCCCCGTCTTCTGTCTTCTCCCCCCGCAGATATTTCCAGTGTCTTCCCAAGTTCGGTCTGTTCGCTCCCATCCACAAGGTGATCCGCATCGGCTTCCCCTCCACCAGCCCGGCCAAGGCCAAGAAGAGCAAGCGGGTGGCCATGGGGGTGTCCTCTCTGGCCCACAGCCCCAGCAGCTCGTCCATCAGCTCGGTCAGCTCGGTGGCCTCCTCTGTGGGTGGACGGCCGAGCCGAGCCGGGCTGGTAAGATAGCTGCCCAGTCGCACGCGCAGCCCAAAGGAAGCCCCCGGCTTTCTTTTTTTCGGGCTGATCAGTGACCCAAACTGTCCCTCAGTCTCACTCTGACCACTTCACACATTTACAAATCATGCTGTGATACAGATGCTATTCATTCAGCACCAGATTTTTGAAAGTAAAAGAAAAAAAAAAGTCAAACCAGCTTTGATGAATTGGTCCTTTGTGCTGAAACACTCCCTTTTCTGCTGGGCAGTTAATGATTAGTAGTGTGTTCCTGGGCCATGTCAGACTCGGGGCATAACAAAACGAGCTAGTTTCAAACCCTCTGTGTCTTTAAGACCAAAAGCTCCTAACCACGCTTGACACAGAAGCTGAAGGGAATGGGACATCAGGCTATGTCACATTGATTTTAGCTTCTGGTTACAAGCCAGTGCCTAAATGGCATGCACTCCCCTTTACTTAGCTTAATTGTTGGCAGAGGCATCCGACAGCTCTGAAGGCAACCTTTGTTATTTATCTGGCTCATCGGGCTGCAGATGCTCCTCTCAGTTGCAAAGAGAATTGCTCTATCATACCGTACTTTTAGTTTTTGTTTTCACTGTGGAAGATTATGCTATTGTGTATATCTAATATAACAAGCACAGAAAATGAGATTTGAATAAGCATCTCAGATTCTGTTAGTTACTCGCAGCCCCCGCATAAAATAAAGAGCCCACCGCATAGCAGCAATGAAAAGGACTCGATGTAACCAAATACCAAGAGAGGCTCTTTCTAGAAATAATATTTTTCACTGTCAGTTTTTGTCTTTTTTTTTTATTCACCAAAAACCAAAACAAAAATCCCAAAAGCTCAAAAATTGTTTTTACTGTTTGTCCAAACCAACGAACTGAGTATTGTTTATTGGTTTGAATTTCTTTACAAATATTGCCCTCTAGTGGTCACACAAAACATTGCAATTTTGAAGCTTGCATTTGTTTCTCAAATTTGTACATTTTTCAACAATCAAAATAACCCCAAAGGATAAAAAACAAATTTCTAAACAAAAGCATTTAAAAGACTGCAACGTGTGTAATTTGAAACGTTACATTTGTTTCACATATTTTGTTGTCATTTTAGTACATCATTTGTTTAGCAGACGCTTTTATCCAAAGCAACCTCCGATGCAGATAGAGCTTCACAGAAGAAAAAGACTGGTCAGATTCTTTTAGAGGCAACAGTGGTGACAGAGTAAAGATAGAGGGAGGTACAGAAAGAGTGGTAGAGGGGGTGGGGGGGCGTACAGGGTAAGAGTAAGGGGAGGATTTAAAAATACTAAAAGACGACAGGACACTGAATAGTTCAAAGAGCTGATGTGGGTCTGTATCCATCCTTTCCTCCGCCCTCAATCCCTTCTCCCTTTGCCTCATCTGCTGCTGCCAGCTCACGGAGACGTCGTCCCGCTACGCCCGGAAGATCTCGGGCACCACGGCGCTGCAGGAGGCGCTGAAGGAGAAGCAGCAGCACATCGAGCAGCTGCTGGCCGAGAGGGACCTGGAGCGCGCCGAGGTGGCCAAAGCCAACAGCCACATCTGCCAGGTGGAGAAGGAGCTGGGCGTGCTCAAGGCGCAGCACATGCAGGTACCGAAAAGCTCCCAGGCAGATGTGCGCAGCCCTCCACAGCTGGAAGGCGACAGAAAGCAGCTTCAGCTCCGTGTTTGTGTCCTCTCCCTGTCCACAGCACGTCACGGAGAACGAGAGCACCCTGCAGCAGGTCAGAGCCGTGCTGGCCACCACGCAGAAAGATAAGCTGGAACTGGCCAATCAGCTCGAGGAAGAGAAGAGGTGACTTCACTCAAACCTCACAAGCCCTCTATGTTACACTGCTGGTACCACACGGCCTCATCTATGGTCTTCTCATCATTAGAACTTCACACTGAACTCAGACGTGAAACACATTTGAGTTGGTATCAGTCTCATCTGTTATTTCAGGAGAAGACGACTGACTGATATGTGTAAATAGTTCTGCTGATACATGTGAAGGTTGATTTTATATTGGGGAAGCCAAAGGAGGATCTGGTTCATTCAGACCGCACCCAGAGCAGGTGCCAGTTTGTTTACCTGACAGTAGGGATAACCAGATTCCCAACGTATTCTTTTTGGTTCTGAAGATGTCTTGGCGCCGAAAATGGCTGCCTCGGTGCTTTCACCAAAGCAAATTCCTTGTATGTGTAAACCTACTTGGCAATAAACCCAATTCTGATTCTGATTCTGATTCTGACAAATGGAGCCTTTTTTGTTGGGGTGCCTTCAAACTAGGGACGTCCCCATCCAGCTTTTTTCACTTCCAATCCGATACCGATCCTGGCCTATAAGAGCCTGTACTAAAGTTTAAAGTTATTTATCTACTTACTTAGCTGTCAGACTCATGTTGAACAGGGATTTACTCTGATAACAACTTAATGGTTAGGACACAAACCTGTGGGTCAGGAGATGCTAATGCTAATGCTCGTGTGGGATCGGACTTAATAAAATACTGGATCAGGAGTCTGGAACCGGCATTTTCTCCTGCCGGCCGATACGCAGTTTTTTGCAGATATTGGCGGCCGATCCGGTCCAGATATGGGATGGGGGCCAGCCTACTTGACAGTGCTGCTCTGCACAGCTAGCGTTAGCCTTCCTGTCACGTTTGTCATCCATGATGCATATCTTATTCATGTATTTCCAGGAAAGTGGAGGATCTCCAGTTCAGAGTAGAGGAGGAGTCCATCACCAAAGGAGATCTGGAGGTATTTATTCACATGTGTTACCTCTCAGTCCACCCTGGCCGTTGCTGTTCTTTAGCCTCTCCGGGTGCAGAAGCGGGGCGTTTGTAGAGGATCAGGGGGCTCAGGTCAGGGGAAGGAGACCTGGCCGCACACACTCAGGTCACATAAGAAAAGATCAGCTTTGTGTTGGATTGAGGACCTCACATCCAATCGGTCTGGGTTGCATTTGAAAACATCCAATCTGTGCTGTTCTCACTGTCCTGAAAAGATGAGATACAGGTCGCATTAGGGCAAAAAAAGTGGGATTTGGGTCACCACAGGCTGCAGTGTGAATGTAGCCTGAGGTTTGGAGGAACACTAAAATAAAAAGATTTCATTTAGAAAACATGTAAAGCGGTTTGATGCTTGTCAGATTAGTGTTCTTCCTTTTACGTGTGTTTTTTCTCTGGATACTCTGGCTTAGAGACCCTGAATTGCCCTTTGAGGTGAGTGTGGGTGGTTGTTTGTCTCTGTGTGGCCCTGCCATGGACTGTTCCTGTTACCTTTCCAGGGTGTATCCTGTCTCCTGCCCATTGTCAGTTGGGATAGGTCCCCCCCCGCTACCCAGCCATAGTATTCCAGTAGAGTGTGAAACCATATTTACTCAAGCAGTCACTGAGAATGACTTGCTGTCAGTGTAATTAAAGTTATCTGTTGTAATAAGAAAGGCAAACACTGAACTAGAGGCAGACTGACAGTTCTTTGTCTTCTGTTTTACCAATCTGGTTTCAGAAATGCGGCACCATCTCGGGCCACGGCTGGCTCTCAGCTCTGAGCCACACACACACCCCAAAGCCTTTAGAAACCCTCATAATCTCAGTTTTAGCCTCCAAACACAAACCAGATGCATGCTATGTTGCTTAGTTATTGTTTCTCAGACACAAGGTTTCAGCTGTGGATCGTGTTGAGCATCCAGAGAGTTTATTAGGTGAAATAACTAATAATTCTGGATAGAAATGCCATCTAGTGCCACTTTGTAGTATTACATGAAAGACAACATTGGAGCCCCATGGCACAGAGGAAAAAGGTCAGGCTCAGAGTTTTTCTCTTTTTTTAATCAACTTTTAGCAGAGATCGATGACTCCAAAGCCTTAAACACATCTCCATTTGTGCCACCCAGCCACACATGGATTTCTAAGAAATGATATTTCAGTTGAAGTGAGGAGTTTTTAGAAGGCATTTCATAGAGTGTTCCATCAAATTTTTAGAGATGGATGCGAGCGTTCCCACACCCCCGCAGCGCTCAGTAAATGTTTCATAGCATTTTGTGAAATTGATGCTCGGAATATTAAATGATTAAACAGCTCCGACTGGCATGTGTTCTCTGAGATGCCACCCTAAAGTGATGCTTTGGCTGGGTCCGTGCTCCCACCCCGTCTCAGAGCTCCTGACCACTCCACCGCTGACCTCTGCGCATCTCCTTTAGTTCCAGCCGTTATGTGTTTGAGCTGTGCTGAGGGGGAATTAAAACATGCAAAATTATTCACCAACTGCTGCTCCGAAAACTCAAGAGCAGAGGCAGTCCAGAGAAAAAACGAGCCAGGCAGAGGGCCTGTCGCCCGTGGTTACCGACTGTCCGGCCCAGTTCTGCTGGTCAAAGTCCTTCCAAAGGCATCTCCTAACTGCCTTTGGTGCCCAAAACTCAAATAGATGCTATCATTTTGAGCAAAATCTTTAGTCTGTACTGAGGACTTAAATCATATTATTATTTTGTTTATTTACAAAAAGTATAAAACATTTTTGAACAGAACCAAATATTCCATTATTTTAGGGGAACAGCAGTTGATTCTGCAGAGTCATGAATAAACTTTTTTGTATTATCATATTAGCTTGTTCTTATAATGTTATTTATTATGAAAATGTATACATTTATCCATATTTACAGTAGGTTTTTTAAGGTCTGGCTCTGCTGTATCACATCATTCTGAACCGCTCATAGTTTAGGAGATCATATACAAACTTACTACAAAGTACCTGTTCATGTTAGGCATCAGCTTTCTGAAATAAAAATCCTCTGCTTTCATTTAAAAGATACAATAAGAAATATATCTATGCACTGTATTGACTTTAGGGTGGGATGCTTTACTGTTATGGGACAAAAATGGCTCTAATGTTTATTCCTATTCTTTGTACGTCACAATGTCCAGGATGCCCTTCACACAGATTTTCCTGCAGAGCTGCAGACAGAGAGCCGTTTCAGTTCTGAAGAATGACATCAGGTCACATGGTAGTGGTAGAACGTTTTTAGGCCTGGGACATGAAAAAACACTTTGAAATGCTGGACTCCTGCTTCTGCCTACAGGGAAGACGCAGTCATGTTGCAGCATCCTTGAGGTTGGGCAGCAGAACCAAGGTGAAAAAAAGCAGCGTGACCCGTTTTTTGGCTTCGATCCACCGCTGAGCTCTCTCAATTCCTGACTTCAAATCCACTTCAGACGCTCTGGAGAACATTAACCTGGCCTAGATTCCTTTCTCTCTCCTGTGATGTGCTGTTTTCTGGATGCGGTTCAGTCTGAGGTCCGATCCATTGTTTGGGGGACATTAACACCGTGCACCGTGCAGCAGATTTTCCTCCTCCTCCTTTTGAGGCCTGTTCCACAGTTGTGTGTGTGACTGTGTGTGTGCATTTTGCTCTGGTAGAGGCGGTTGGTTGCCACTAGGTGATCGGAGAATGGCTGGGCTTTCCTCTCACCTTCTACTTCCTTGCACATACCATGAGCTGCTCAAATCACACATCTTTGGACAGTGACACATCTCGTCATTTGGTACCTGGTTGATTACTTTTGGAAGGAAATGATACAATGACATTAATGCTGAGGAGCAGATTATATACTTTAATTATGAGGATAACACTCTGCTAGAGCCAGCACTATTAATCCACTAAAATAATGAGGGACGAGATGGTTTGATGCATCAGCAAGATTTAGTACATATAGATTAGAGGGTTTGTAATATAAGATTTAATCAATGCTTTTATATGAACATAAACCACACTTTTACTCTGCAGGTTGCTGTTTATTGTAACAAATGCTCCTAAAAGGATCAGCTGACAAAATAAGACTCTCCTGTCAGCTTTTAGTGCTTTCTGGTTCATTGTTTTGGTTTGCTGCCAGCAACTTCACTTCTAATTATTGCTGTGACTCGCAAAAAAGGGCTCCAACAAAGCCACCGAACACCAACCGCACGACCTCACATATCACATATCAGGTAGAGTAAAAAACAAATTAATGAGCTCTCTGTGGAGAGTTTAGTAGATGGAAGTTAGTTACAGAGTGGTGCCATTTGCAGGCCCACTTAACACAACCCGGCTTCCTTGTAGGACCTAAACTTTTAGTCCGGGGCAAAATGGCAGCAAATGGTCAGATTTGTTTTATTCTACCGGAAACTTTTGATAAAAGTCGAAATTCACTGACAGCCATTTTAAGGGAATAGTGAAATAATAGATGATGGATATAGATAATATATGATTTATTTTCTGACATTTATTCAACAGTCAGTCAGCACTCATTTGTCAATTTCAATTCAGTAGTTCTGCACAGGGACTTCTAAATGTTGTGGAAGTCCAAATGTGTTGTCCATTGGAACGTCTATGAAAGAAACCAGTGAAGGGGCAGAGATTGGGACAGATCATTGTACCCCAGGCCCTGAACAATCATCTTTTTTCCTGCAGTATGTGGGAGAGCAACATCTAGCTCAAATCTGTCCACAAACCTGAACTGAATTGGACTGGCATGTAAAAGAGGTGGACATTAAGCTCAGGCTCATCCATAAACAGTTGTTTTTCATAATGTTGTTGACTTATGGGCTGCGGCAGTTTGCTGAAGCTAGGCTCAGACTACTGTCAGCCTCTCTGACTACTCAGGACAGGAGGTCACGTTTAGTCCGGCTGATTTTAATCAAGTTTGCTTTCACGCGGTGATTCATGACCTCAAATCAAACCAGCGAGCGGCCTCCAACCTGGGCCATGTTTCTGCTACCTTCAGCATTTAATCAGGCTGGAAATACGCAGGATCGATGTTTGAACAGAGATAGAAAACTGCTGAAATGTATTCAGACAGTTTACTTTCCTCCAGGTAACCAAAAATCACCTTGCTGCAAATTCTTCAAGGTCTCTTTATAGACGAGCGTTTGACTTCAGATCCTGCTTCTTGCTTTAATATTCATGGTTTTAAGTTTTCTTATGCGCCTGTGGGCATCCCCTCAGTTACATCCTGAGGAGGCTAACTGTTCCAGTTGTTCACTTCGTCTCTACCTGCAGCATCTCAGCAGAAACAGCCAGCCATGCGCAGCCTCATGCTAACATTTATAGACGAAATGAAAAGGTAGTTCATGTTGGGGAAAAAAGCTTTTAGAGTAAGATGTGAAGGGATACTGATGTTGAGTCTCTTCTCTTTTATTCAGTCTTCACCAACTCCCAAAAAGATGTTGGCATGAGGCAGTATGCACACATCTGTCTCCAGATGTGTTAAAACCTTTATCAACCAATGATCATTGTATCGTTTTTTTTCTCCAAGAAGGAACCAAACATTTAAGCGAACCATTGCTGTCCAAATAGGCTCTATAACTTTTTCGGTTTGAATATTTACTCCTCCGGTCTCTTCAGGAACTTTCAGAATCTTCTGTTTGATTTCCTTTGTTCTACAAGCTAATCTTTGCCTGTGCTGACTCGTCGAGCTCGTCTTAATAACGCTCTCGGGCTGCCATCTGCCTCAGTAGAAGGGTTGTTCCTCTGAAGAGCCCACACCTGTTGGGAGCACAGCCCCCCCAGGGTGGTGACGGCTGTGGGTCTGTTTCCCGTCAGCAAACCACCGTGGAGGAGCAGAGCCGCATCGCGCAGCTGGAGAAGGAGCTGGCCCAGAGGAGAGCCCAGGTAGAGGAGCTGCAGGCACAGCTCCCACCAACGGACGCCAGCCGGAGGGAGGCGGACGCCCGGCCAGAGGCCCCGCCCCCGGCCGGCCCCGAGCACAGCCAGGACAGCACCCAGCCCCCGGAGACGTACCAGGCCACGTTAGCAGCAAACCAGCAGGTGATAGACTCGCTGAGGGCGGTGGTGGAGAAACAAAACCTGGAGATCAGCGAGGCCAAGCAGAAAGCCCAGCAGGCCGCCAAGGAGAACATGGAGATGATGGACACCTGGAAGGTACGCTGACACAGCAGCAGCTCAGGGATCATTACACGCTAACTGTAGGTGCTGAACATGGAGAACAGCACAAGGATATGTGACCTTATTAAGTAAAGTGTTCTCATTGCTGCATTTTAAAGGAAAAGAGCCGTTCTAATGGTGTTCTGATAATCCTGCATGTGGAGCACTAAAGTAGCTCAACCTGCATGAGATCAATGCATGAGCCCATTTCCTGGTTTCTTTCAATACAAATTCCCATTTATATTAATTTCGTTCAGTATTTGAATGTTTTTATTTGTAATATTTTTATGTTTTCTTACAGATTTGAGCAGTTCAGACTTGGTAGTATTCATTTCAAACAATTCACTTCAGCCAGCAAATTTCTGGGAATTAAAATGATGAACGATCATCGTGCCTAATTCGAATAATTTAATGCATTGTGTGTAAAATGTTATACAAATCTTTCTAAAACTGCTGCATAGAATAAGAGCGTGTGTTGTATTTTAGTTTGTATTAGAAGAAAGGCAGATTATTTTAGTCATTTACTTTTTTACTGTTCGTTATCATTAGCCAGACAAAGACTTCAGCCAAATAAATACAAATTTTCTGTGTTTTGCTGGTTCAGACATTATTAGATTAGAACCAAAAACTCCAGTACGATATCTTTTTTTAACTTTCTTCAACAGGATAAGTTTGACACTTTAGTGACTGACCATCAGCGATCCCTAGAGGACCTGAAGGCCTCCCTGAGCAGAGATCCAGCTGCTCCAGAAGGCAGAGACCCGGACGTCCAGGAGCTGAGAACCACGCTGGAGAGCCTGAAGATGGAGCACCACCTGGAGGTGGAGAATCTCAAGGCCAAACACAAGATCGAAGCCGCCATTCTCACAAAAGAGCGCGAGGACTTCTGCGCTCGCCTTCAGGAGGCCCGAGAGCAGCTGGCTGAGGGCGCCCAGAACCCTGAGGCTGAGCCCCCGGTCAGCAGGCATGCTCTGGACAAGGCCTGGGAGAAGCTGCAGCAGGCGGAGCAGAGGCTGGCGGAGAAGGAGAAGCTCCAGGCGGAGCAGGACAAAAGCATGGCCGAGCTGCGAGACCGGCTGGAGCTCTCAGAGAAGAAGATGGCCGACTACCAGGCCCTGCAGAAGGCCCAGGCAGAGAGCCGGGAGGAGGTCCAGAGGCTGGAGGAGAAGCTGCGGGTGACCGTCAACCAGCTCCAGGTCATCCAGGCTGACCGCTACTCATCCCACGACGCCAATGTGAGTGGAGACGGAGAGAAGTGACCAGCTGACCGCTCCTCTGGAGTAACTCTGTCTGCTGCCACGTCTCACGTCTGAGTTCCTGTCGCTGTTTCTTTTTTTAGGTGATAGAAGATAACGATATCGCAGATGAGAAGATGAAGCTGAGGAAGAATATTGAAGGTATCTTTGTCCATTTATTTTCATAAAACTATGGATTGATTTTGGACATTCTGCTCCTTATCATAACCTCAACGTGATAAAAACTAATTTATTGACTTTATTAAAACCCTTTCACAGTTCTATAAGCTGTAGGCTATAGGCCAACTAAAAAAATACATCCTTAAAATAAGAAAAAGCTTTGCTTTCCTAACTCCACTAATGAAAATGAGAAAACATTCACGTTTATGTTGATAAATCAACAAAAAATTAACTGCATAACTTGTGCTCCAATAACTTTAGTTACAGTCTCCATCTGAAATAATCTCTTTTCCTAACAGAACATCACATCATGGAGGGTCTCTGTGGTGGTAGAAGGTCAAATGCTTCATATTTCATACAGACTTTAAACAAGGCAAAGCTACTAATCTTTATTGATCCTAAAAAAAGAAAGAAACCTCTGAGGAGCTATGTGAGGAGCATCTGAACAGTTAGTGTGCTCTGATAGACAGCTAGAGGTGCTTTAGCTTGTTTGGTTTGGGAATTGGATTATATTACAAGCTTTGCTGGGATGCAGACAGAACCATATTATATTAAAGCGGCTGCTTGTTTTATTTTCACCAGAATAATTATAAATAGTAACTGTGAGGAAGACCAGCTGTAGGAAAACAAAAAGTCCACTCTGGTCTGAGGTGTCACAGCACTGAGCTCCACCAGGCCATGGCACCGGGCATCTCTGGCCCCAAGCCTCTTCCAAAAGTCATTCCAAGAACAATAAACCAGGATTCACTCTCAACTCAACTCAAACTTTATTTATAAAGCACATTTAAAACATCTGGGGTTGACCAAAGTGCTGTACAAAAATCACAGTTGCAGGATTTAAGATAAAAACTAAAAGCTAAAATACATAAACACAATGCAATAAAATAGAATGGTAATAAAATATAATAAAATAAGTTAAAATGGTGGAACCATCTGGTGGAATCAGCCTATCAGGCTCCTTTTCCAGGATTGATCCATGTGGTGATTGGGGGTGTGGGGGTTGTTAAGAGTTAAGGAGCAGAGAACTCTTATTTTTGTCTTTAAATGGTCTTGAGCTGTCATTGGGCTCTAATAACATTTAACATTCCCCTGAAGCCATTATACAAATTAAAATGAGGCCTTTCCGAATGAACATTTGAATTTATTTTATTTTACTTATTACTTGTGTTTCAAATAATTTATTGATTCCTCTCCCACTCTTCACCGTATTGGTAAAAAAATAAAATCCTTCAGCTCTTGTTTCTTAACTATCGTATTTATTTCCTGACACATTTGAATTTGTTGTTTAGCTATTTGTTGCTACTTTTTCCAATTACTTCAGCATCTTTTGGTGCGTTTTCTTAGCTGTTTGACAGGAACAGCTCTTTCTAGGGTCTTTAATATCACAGTGGCTTTGCACTACACATCTTACAGACTTGGCTCTTAAATGTAAATCATTCAAACTCATTTCTCAGACTCAAATATATTCTTAAAACCTGAAAGTCACTAAAACCTGAGAGAAACTCTTGAAGAGAGCCTCTCCGACCCTGACTCTTACCCTGCTGCGTATGAGGGGCAGGAGCTACAGGGACACGGGTCCTGAACCAGGTCTGTGTGAACAAAGCAAATTGGAAAATAACTGCGCTTGACCTCAAAGGGGCCTTAAGCCCTTTGCTGATGAAAACATTTGTGTCACATGTAATACAGCTTTCACTTATCTGAGCTGGTTTTCTGCTGATCAGCTTCACTGAACCGTTTCCCCATTTTTCTGCTGGTGTTGTAAGCTCAGCTAACCAGGGCCAGAACTGAAACACCTATGGGAGGGAAATGACCCTAAAGTTTGATTGCCATTCTCTAGAAACCTGTTGAACTCGATTTGGATTCTAATTCTTATTACTTGGATCAAATTACCACGTTTATGGCTGAAAAAGGCCTAAAAACCCCAAGACGATCCTGCATCTGTGCCCAAAAGTGGGATTTTCCAGCAGGCATCATGCTGTCAGAAGAGTGGACCATGTCCCAGCATGCACTGCTCAGTCTCCGTCACCCAGAGCCTGCTGCTGTCCGTCCACCAGCTTTCCCCAAACTGAGAGATGTTGGTTTGCTTTCCCGCAGAAACAATGGAAAAGTTGCTCAAACGGGAAAAGGAAGTCTCCACTCTCACTTCCCAGGTTGAGGCCCTCAAATCCCAGGTCGGAGGTAAGTGCCGTTAAGCACAGGAAGTAACAGCTTTAGAGAATTCACTTTCAGTGGAATTTTGGATTTAGGTCCACATCATGTTTAGATGGTGACATAAACGATATGATTTTCTTCAGGAGAATTCTTGCATCAATGTTTTGCATGTGAGGTATTTCAAAAACACTGATGTTCAGAGTTCTTTGTTAATTCTGTTTTAGCCGAATAGCCCTGTGAACGATCTATCAAAATGAAAAAACAAAAATATTTAAAAGAGAAAAAAACAGGTCTGCTGTTGTGTTATTCTCACAAACAAAATCTGAATAAATAGGAGTTCTAGAGATACATCTAACAGAGCCTGTATGCTTCCCTTTTGTTAGCTATTTTACACGAAAATGCAAAAAAAAACCCTGCATTCTTCTTACAAGACTCCCGTGCTACAGGAAACATGTTGTCTCAAACTTAATAAGCTTTTTCTCCCCGGCAGATTAAGCCGTCCACTGTCAGGCTGCAAGTGCAGCATGGAGTTTGTCATTTAAATGAATGTTGTCAGTTCATATAGAGCCTGTTTCACAGTCTAATGAATGAATTCAGGATCAAGCTTGTTGATATAAAACCTTAATTTACTAGACTATGCAATTGAGAAGTCACATTTGATTTTTTTCTTATCTCTTCTTTCTTATTTTAAATCCACTTACTTAATAACATATCACTTAAACTACCTAGTGACTAGTACAGGGGTGGGCAACTCCAGGCCTCAAGAGCCGCTGTCCTACAGGTTTTAGAGGTTTCCCTGCTTCTACACAACATCAGCAGTCCTGTCCAGAGCTGGAGCACCGTTAGAAGAGATCAATTTTATCTGAATCAGGTGTTTAGAAGCAGGGAAACCTCTATAACCTGCCGGACAGTGGCTCTTGAGGCCTGGAGTTGCCCATCCCTGGACTAGTATATCACAAGTAACAACTGCATTTCCTCAAATCCTTCAACTTTTGCTGACAAGTCAGAGAAGACCGGGTTTTTATGAGATCTTATAAGATTCAGCGCATTGAGTCTGTGAAAGAGGTCTTTCTGACTAGATGTTCCAAGTAGGTGGAGAGTTTATGATTTCATCCTCTCAGAGAGGCTTTTTATTTTATTCATATTTTTTTTTTCCTATTTTCTCCTCCATCAGACCAAGACTTGCCAACATAGCCTCGATCTACACACGCAGTCCTTAGTTTACGTTTGGTCTGCTCTGCCTTTCAGTTTCCTTTGTGGAATACTGTAAACGGACTACTGAGCCCTTCTGTTCTGAAAGGTTTTGTCCTCGCTGTGTTCTCGATGCCTCCAGGGTGGATGTTTGATGGCAAAGCGAGGCCATCTCGCCCTTAAGTCGACAGCACCCTGAAGTCTGAGTTTCAAACAGCAGGGGGACAAAAGTTCCCCCCACAGTGGACAATAGAACTCAACATATGAATATATGCTTACTTATGGACACAATAAATTAAGATTTGATTAATAGTGTAATCACTAGACTTCTATTAAATGAATCAGGGCTAATTACGTACAATTGTAAAACATCTACACTGAATTCAGATGGTAGTTCCTTGTTCCTACTATATGATAATTTTTACAGCTGCCTGTTTCAGTAACATTATCTGTAACACAGATAAAAATGAGGATTCATGTGTAGTCACAGTGAAAATGTGTGTTTTTTTACATGCTGTGCATAAATCTCTGATGTTTGGCTTCATTGTTGTGTAACATTAGCTCTCGAAGGCAAAGTCCGCTCAAGCGAAAAGAAAGCCGAGGCCCTGGTCAAGGAGAAGATGCGTGTGGAGGCAGAGCTGGAGTCCATGACCAAGAAGTCCCACGATGCCTCTGGGCAGCTCGTCAGCATCAGCCAAGAGCTTCTAATGAAAGAAGGGTAAGAACCATATTGATTTAGCATTCAGAGCACTCTGGATAACTGGAGACAGAGATGCCCTTGAGCTTTCAGACTCGAAATTTGAAAAAAGTTCTGTTAGTTTCCTAATGGCCAAGTTCTTGAAAGCCTCAAACTTTGTGATTTTGCTGCATTTATTTCAAGTTGCAGTCCTGAATTCTTTTTAGTTAAAAACAAAAAAAATTTAATAAAGAGGAAATCCAGTACAAACCCAATAAAAGTGCATTTAAAGAGTAATGTCATAACAACTATTCTAACACAACTGTCTTAAGGGTTGGAATTTACATATGCAAATGTAGAAATGTTAATCTGAGAACGGCTACATTCTGCACATTATGGATCCACTTGCGGGGACTCAGGAGAAGCAAAACAGAATCTCTCCATCCGAAGAAAAAATGTATTGGGTAAGAAAACTTTACTGCAGGGTAAAAACACAAACAAACATATTCTGACAGAAGTATCAACTAGAGATTACTGAATAACAAGAATAAACAAACAAGCAAGCAAATAAATAAATGAATAAAGAAAGAAAGAAAGAAAGAAATGAATAAATAAATAAAACATTGTTAGCAAACTGGAAAAAGTAACATAACATGACAAGTAAGAAAACAGGAAAGGTCTAAACTAAAATCCTGCCATCAGAAATGATGCCTGGCTGGTATCTGTTGCACAGGCTTGGGGGGGGGGGAGCTCTGGAAAGAGAAGGAAGATGTGGAAAAATCAGAAACCAAATCAAATAAAAAATGCTTCAAAAAGCCAAACAGGTACGGATTCCCAGATTCGCCATCTTTACCAGATGGAACAGAATGACCAAACACAGACAGGCTGAGGGAGCCGTGAGCAGCTGGACTGAGAAGGGCAGGAAGAGAGGGACACCATCTGCCAGCGGGGAGAGTGGAGTGAATGTAGAGAACAAGACAGACAAAAGAAACACACAAAAAAACAACTCTTTTTGCCTGTTTATCCAATCACCTGGCCTCCCTGCAGGAGTCTGAATGAGCTGAGGGTGCTGCTGCTGGAGTCCCATCGCCACTCCCGCGACGTGGAGAAAGACCTGAGCCGCGAGGTGCACAAGGCCGAGTGGAAGGTCAAGGAGCAGAAGCTTCAAGACGACATCAAAACCCTGCGGGAAAAGCTGCTGCTGCTGGTGAGTCCCCGTGAGAAGGCCTCCCTGCATGCTCGTTTTGACTCAGCTGAACAGGAAACGATTAGCATGCCGGCGGCTTTTTTATGCGGCCTCTGAAAGGCTGCTTTGCTTCCTCTTATTAGGCTGGCTGTGAAAACAGTGATGTGTTGACTTTCAGTGTAAATTAAAGAAAAGAAAATGGAAAATAGCTCTCAGGTTTCCCGAAATGGCCCGTATGTGTGATCTAACCCCTCCCGGGGCCGCCTGCAGGGCCGGGAGCGCCCCTCTCCTGACCACCGGCGCTACTCCATGCTGGAGCCCTCGGCTCTGGACTCGGAGGTGAACCGCCTGCGCCAGCGGCTGTCCAGCACCGAGGACGCCCTGAGGAACGCCCTGGAGCACAACCAGCAGGTGGACCAGCTGGTCCAGGCCATGCGCCGGCATCCCGAGAAAAGCCCGGTAAGGCTTAAGCGGCTTCACTATGGCCGTCTCACATTTCTTACCTCTGTGACGTGTCTCTAGCCTCCCTCACGTCAGTGAAAGGATCCATCGTGGCTGAGGGTTAATATGTGGACCAAAAATGTGTTTACAGTGTAGTTAGCTGAGGACCGGTGCCATAAATGCTGGCACCATGAACAAATCAGTCAAAATGAGACCCAAAAGGATCAACTTCACACACACCACGCTTCAGGAAACGTTTCCCCAAACTTCCTCAGTTTTTAATGTTCAATCAGAAATACGGGCGGCTCCGTGGTGTGGTGGTTAGTACTACAGCCTCACAGCCAATGGGTTCTGGGTTGGAGTACACGGGGGAACCAGGACCAGAGGGTTCTGGGTCGGAGTCCCGGGGGGAACCAGGACCAGAGGGTTCTGGGTTGGAGTCCCGGGGGAACCAGGACCAGAGGGTTCTGGGTCGGAGTCCCGGGGGAACCAGGACCTTTCTGGGTGGAGTCTGCATGTTCTCCTGTGTCTGTGGGTTCTCTCCGGGTTCTCCGGCTTCCTCCCACCGTCCAAAAACCTGCATGTTAGGTTGGTTGGACTCCAAACTGCCCTTAGTGTGAGTGTGTGTGGTTGTTGGTCCTTGTGTGTCCAGGGTGACCCCGCCTCTCTCCATTGACCACTGGGAAAGGCTCCAGTTCCCCCCTGACCCCATTAGGAGATAAGAGGTTAGGATAATGGATGGATGGAATCAGAAATACAGTAACTAACATTTTTGTTGATGGAAAGAAAGAAAGGCTGGAAGCAGAATGAGACGAGGAACCTGACTTTGTCTCTCTGGCACCTCTAAATTTCAGTTTTTTTCACAATTTCCAGTCTTTCTCCTGAGCTAGGCTAACCCCATTCCGCTGTGGTTTTATCATGTTATGCCTGTTTCTGTGTAGTCCAGCTGAGTCCAGTCAGGGATGCTGACTGTTTTCTGACTGTTTTCTGGCTGTTTTCCAGGTGCACGGTGCAAATTCAGCCAACGGGATCCATCACCAGGAGCCCGACGGCCCTCCAGATGTTGGTATTCTTGGTTCCTCCTCCCGGCCTTAGCCCAGTATCGGTACCCGGCTCATCCCCTGCTCTGGCTCTGGTTTTAGGAGCAGCGCTGAAGCGAGCGGGAGCGGCCAGACCTGGACCCTGACGGAGCTCCGACCCCCCCGGGACCCGCAGACACAGCCTGTTCACACGTCTCCTCCTCATCCTGCGGTGGACATCTCAACCAACGTTTCAGTTTACAGTCGATACCAAAACAGTGAATCTCTATCTCAAGTGAATTTCTTTGATGTTCTGAAAGCACCTATTAACCAATCATGAAGGCCGCTTAAAGTAATATAAAGTATGGGCATGAAGAGGTCTAACCAGTCCAACAGCTGCTGGACACACACCCAGGGGCCACTTTGGATGCTTTCCAGTAGTTACAAAGTTTGATTCTTTGAGTTGACGAGAAGTCTAAATCTAAATTTTGGTCTGGAAGCAAAGCTGTTGATGGACAACTGGACGAAGAGCAACTGGGTCTTTCTTCATTTTCTATTTGTTTAATTTATTTCTTTTACTTTGCTCATTTGCTTTGTAACAACCCCTTGAACTGCAGGCCTGTTAAAACTCCTGAACGCTGATTTTTAATAACCATTTGTCCGTTTAAACTCTACTGAAAGCCTGCTTTGTATTAAAACTCCCTCTACAGTGCACACAAGGAACTGAGACACAAACATGAGGTAAACAGAGTTCAAATGTGGCCGTGAAATGGTTCTGATGTCCCCTCATGATGGTCACGCAGTTTATTTCCCATTTATCTTTTTAATAGCTTTCCCTGGGCCGAGCGGTCCAAATGCTGGCTGTGCACATTCTGAGCACAGACAGAAACTCAGAGCATCACGCGTAAGATGAGTTTTAAAAGCCAGTGTCGGCAAGCTAATCCCAACAAACAAGTGAACTCATTCTGAGTAAAAAATGCTCCCAGAGGAAGAGACTGAGGACCACAGTGTGCCTCTGAAGAGTTCCACAAAATAATGCAAATCCTCCATCACCACTGAGTCCAATCAAAGAAAAACATTTCAGAACGCCTATTGGCTTCAGTCCATGGATTTACAGACAGCCCTATAACGCTGAGAGTTATCCCTGTGACAGTTATAGAGCAGAAACCAACAGCCTACTCCCGGGCACCGCGGACAGGAGCCCCTCCATCCTCCCCCCAGAACACATCTGGAATCTTGCTAAATCCAGCTGAGTGATGTTAGGGGACTGTGTGAATAACTCCGGGCTTTGTGTTTCTGTACCTGTGGATCTCTTTCTCTGTCGGCATTGATGAATTATTTTATTTCTGGTGGACTCGGCCTATTCTCCGTCTATATAGTGGTAATAACTAACTATACGTGTAATAGCGTGGCAGTCCATGTGAGCCTGTTCTCTGTGCTGAATCGTCCCGGGATTGCTTCCCATGCCTTTCTGTGTCTTCTAAAGGGCTGCCGCAGAAGCTGAAACCCAAACAACGGACCAGGGGCGCTCCACTCGTCCTTGCCCTAAATAACATCACGTCGCTCCCATTTGCATTCTAACGTTAAGTCTTCCAAATATTGATTTACCCATCTGTGGGCTGAGCCAGAGGGTCTGCTCACAGGTCACTGGTCCGGTACAGGAGGTCAGCAGGGGTAGCAGGGTCCGAGTCTCCTGAACACAGCATGAAAGACGGGCACCGGTCAGCTCAAATGAAGCCTAAATTTTCCATTAGATGTTATTGTATATGGCCTTTCCAGCTGGGGGGTTCTTCCCCTTTGGATTATTGCTGCAATGGTTTTGGAGATTGAGTCATTAAATATTAACATTGTGGCCGAGTGCTTGTGGTGTTTTCTTCGACACGCTCCTGGCTTCTTTCTGTCTGCCTGCCTCTCTGGGGAGCACACGGGTTTATTTTTACAGAGCCCAAACGCATTCTCCAGACTTGCCTCTACCATCCACACCACCCTCAAACACTCTCACGCTGGTTCAGTTTATTACAGCAGAGCGTTTACGGGAGCATTGGTGCTGCTCAGAGGAGGAGGTAATGACTCCTTCATTTAGAAAACTCCCCCTGATGTTCAAACATTCAGACGGTGCATGTTTATTTAACATCTCTAACCTCCTGGTATCAGATTTATTCAGTGGCCTTGGTAAATGTCAGCTCTTATCCACATGCCCCAGTTTTACGCAGCGAGGCCGACTGATGTTGCTGGCGGCATTTAATTTAGTAAGAGACTATTAACTCAATCCAAAGAAAAGACCAGCCAAAAATCTATTTTTATTAATTTGTTCTAAATGTGTTTATATTTTACACCTTTAAAAAAAAGGGTAGGGGGTGATTTTATTTGATTATGAACATAATTATGGATAAATGCATAAATATAAACATTCCCTTGCATGAACTTTCCTCCACATTAAAACAGGCCGGGGCTATTTACAGCCAGCCCGGCCCGGCCTCACCTCCACGGCCACCGGCCCCGTGGAGCCGCCGCACCCCCGCTCCGGAGCCTAACCCTAAAAATAACAGTCAACTATCACATCAAACCCTCATTCACTCCCAAAGGTTTTCCTAACCCACCGCAGGAAACTGGAGCCAAGAACCAGACAGAGACTTTTAAGTGGCTCCGACAGAATATCAAGATGTACAAAAAAAAAGCCCAAAATGATTTGTCCTGACGCTAAATGGTCATATTTCGTAGTTTTGCCAAAGGTCTCCCGGTTAATCCTGCATGTAAACTGCAGCCAATAGATGCTGGTGTTGAGTTGGGCTGGGATTAGCAGGAGGCGAATGAGTTTCAATTTTACTGGATTACAGAACAAAGAAAGGGGAAAGGGACACCCTGCTCTGTGAAGGGAAAAAACAGAAATAAACTCAGAAAAGAAGACACACAACATCGGTAATAAGGCGGGCAGCTGAGGTCGTCGTTGTAATGATTCGGATTACGATGTTTTAGCAAACGGCACGCTTACATTGTGGATGGGAATTGTGAGCGTTTCTGATGGATTAAAACGGGGAATAAACCTATTCCGGGATTGACAGCAGCAACAAGGCTATTTAATCGCAAATTAAGGTAAGATTTCTCTTTCCCCTTCACATGTCCGAACAGCTGCATTGAGCGCTTCGATGGAAAGTGTTTATTTTCGTCAGTGTGCATTTAGAAATTACAGATTAAAACATAATTTCTGGACTGGGGAGGAGATGAAAGGAAAGTGCTAGCGCTAGCTAGCAAGTGCTAACGCAGTGCGGCTAACAGTTAAAGCTAGCCTGTCAGCTAGCTTAACGTTATTATGCTACCGCTAGCTAATTAGCCTCTATTTACTAGTTAGGTACACGGTAAGAAACAGAAAAAGGTTGTTGTTTAATTAGCAGGTCGCTGAATTTCGATGGTTCCCTCCTCATAACCTTGTGAGTTGAGTGCTAACCTTTATTTTTGATAGGAAAGCAGCTGTCTGCCTGGTAAATTAGTCCCCTTTATATCGCCATCAGTGACTAGAAGGTTACCCAATTTGTACAACAAAGCCAGTCGGCTCTAATAAACAAAAAAAAATAAAGAGAAAAAAAGAACGCCACACTTTAAAAGTTTAGCGAAACAGTTAAAAGATAACTGCATGTTTATGAACCTGTCAGTTCCAGTAATTGTACCGCGTAGCGGTGCTTTAAACTAAACGTGTATAGATATTGATTTTCGATTGACTTCTCTCAGTAAACACATCTACTTAAAGACAAAAGGTAACGAGGTGTGATTCTCCAAACTAGAGAATTAAACAGTTCAAACTTGTAGCGTCTACACTAAACGTCTTGCCTGTGGCCAGAAGCCACAAAAATCCCGTTAAAGTCTCTCATGGATTTTTTTATTTTGGCTAAATGGTCTCCTGCCGTCAGCAGGAAACGCGTCTAAGCTTTTCAGACTTTTGCGTGAAACTTTTTCTGCTTCAGTTAAGGAAAACTAGACCACAAAGGCAAAAAAAAAAACCGTGCTGAGGGCTGACACTTTAAAACTCAGCTCACAGGAGGAATATTTCTTCACTGTACTTTAATGTCACTATGTCTGAAGTCACGTGGTCTGTTTTTTATTCGTGCTGGTTGTCAAAAGTAGTTCCTGTGAGCCCACCTTGGTGACACCTCCCCGGTTAGTTCTGGACACAAAGCCCAGCAGGAGGATGCTGGACGGGGAGCGGGGCTGCAGCATCCCGCTGCCCAGAGCCCCGTTTGCCCCCCCACAGGTCCCCGCGGCCTCTGGGAAATGGCCCCCAGCTTCTGTCCACCAATACGCCGCCATGTCCCAATAGGGCCACGGATAGTAAGAGAGCAGGG